AGAAAATAAACATATTCTAACATCAAGACAAACTTGAGATATGACGAAAAAGTAGAACATAGACTCGCGTATTAGGCAAAGTTCAAGCACCAACTCACCTTCTGCAAAAGTCCCATAAAGGTTTTCACGAAGGCCTCATACTGACTACGAGTATTGCAGACCTCCTCCCTCATGAGTAGCAAATCTCGCTTGAAACTGTAAGTTGTAGCGGAATGAACCGAAAAACAAGGTTTGTTTGACAACCTACCCTTGAAGCGTAGAAAGAATTCGTGGGTAAGATTCCTCAATGACGGCTAATTCTTCAGAGACCACATTTGCTTCAATGTCAATCTCGCGAGCAACCTGCATAAATACAGTACACTTTTAACATAAAAACTGCAATGAAAATCATTCCTACAGGTTTGTAAAAATATAAATTCTGACAAGTTAATGTCAAAACATAAAAATAAGGACTTACCTTGCGAACGTTTGCCAAGAACTCGATGGCATTATTGGCTGGAAGACTAGCAAGTTGATTTCGTAACGCTAGTGCTGTCTGAAAAGCCCAAACTTTTACCATTTTTCTATTAAGCAGAGTGACTTCTACAATACATAAACGCATGAAGTAGGAACTGATTTGAAAATACCTAGGTGGAAAAGAAGTCACCTTTGAAAGATTAGCTGGGACTTTTTCTTCGTTAGATCCAGAAGGTGATGTGCTGAGAATGTCAGGAGTACCATCCTGTGATGGAACCATTAGCAATGCATGCGGATTAAAAACTTTCTTGAATCCCAGAAAGTTCTGAAAAACACGTTGTACAGTGGCAGATTCAGATTTATAAGTTCAAAATACACTTCAATTGCATCAGGTGTAAACATGCAACATTCACAGAGCTATTTGATCAGGATAAGCGAGGTTATTATTATTAAAACAAAGAAAAACTTAGGAGACGTTTTTTTTTTGGACTTTCTCCAGTGTGAATGGAGCAAAGTGACGCCATGGAGCGCGAAGAGCGGCCCTAGTTTAACGTCTCAACCACGACTTATCCTCGTCGAT